ATATATATTAGAGTTTTATACTCTAATATAAAGAAAATATTAATCGAAATTTCCCTTATTTAAATTAAAAACAAATATATATGATGTGTGTGTGTGTGTATATATATGTATATGTATATATATTAGAGTTTTATACTCTAATATAAAAATAAATACTAATCAAAATCCTCCCTTATTTAAATTAAAAACATAAATGATTTTAAATTCATTTTTACGTTACGACCGGTTGTCTCTTCTTTTATATTTTCTCTTCTGTTCTTGATTTTATTTATTATGCTATGTTTATATGTTATAGTTTTCGAAATGTTTAAACTAAAGATATCCTTAAGAATTATTCCTCACAAGGAAGGGGTTCGACACCGCTTCGAAGGACTAAGATGGATAAAATTAGGAATAGATTTAGAAATAAGATTTTATAAAAGTCTCGCTTGTCGTATAATCTAAGATGTTGAGATAATATGGCGATTGTAGATGAAACGATTAAATAGCTCTTGAATCCTTCTGTATTGAAAATTCGAACACCTAACAAATCATTTGTGAGAAAATAACAAACCAAGATATAGCAAAAATACAGAGAAATCAATGAACAATCTTTAGAAAATAACAAAGACAGTCAGTCATTATATTGAAGATTTTAATTTATGCAGATTTTTGTCGTGAAGAAATTTTACAGACGAATAGCTGGTCGGTAATATAAAAGAGCAACGAACAAAAATGGTTTACAATGTAACATAAAGAAAACACGTTCGTTTGGTGGTTTAGTACTGGTACAAATGGAAGTGCATATGCTCCATATGCAAGGAACAAAAGAGTAAAAGAACCCCCCACTACAATCCACCATGAAATATATTTTTAATGATATCTTATATATTGTTGTTATTTTGTGTTCTGTTATAAGCTGTGATGGTAGGTGGTTTATTTATTTAGGCATCGATTTGWTGGCTGTCATTTTTTTTGGTTAAAAGCTCTTCTTCCATGAAGTCATGAATATCTCTACAAACACTTCAGCTTTTTACTCCTTTTCGCTCTCTCATTCGTAAAATATTCCATTCATTATATTTTTAAAATGCAGAAGGTCACTGCTTATACTTTGGACGTAAGCAAGTAATTGTTGTGACCAAGTTTTCTCTTCCACGATATTTTGTCTTCTTTTTCATCATTAATTCACGATCGATTTTTCCCACCTGTCGCTTTTGTTTGGTGGCCACAACACAAGTCAAACGACTAGAATCGATGCCTTAGCTTTTGCCTCAACGTCATATCCCAATTCTACGGCATCCTACGTATCAGTCACGTGCTTGAGTAAGTCCTCGACTGGTATAAAATCAGAAGTTGATTAAGGGTTCGTTCAGTTTGACGAAGACCGTTGCTGAGTGTCCGCGTGTTGGTTGGAGTATCGCGCGACAAACAACTTCATCCATTTGCCATCAAACAGCATGAACGACAGAGTTCTAAGTATATTTGAATAAAGGTACAAGCTGTGAAACGCCGTGAGCCACCAATCAAGCAGTAGGAATCGTAAGTCGCACAAAACCCGCATCCTGCCATATTTATTCAGTCTGTAGTTTTCCTTTCACCTTGGACTAACTGGACGATACGATTGGAGAATTTCTAATATCACTTCTAGCCCAAGTCGCTGAAGAGCCGTGAAATACTAGTTCAAGATCAACGTTCAAGCGTCTCATATTGCTTAAATAATTGGAGCAAAAACAAGTAAGTATTCGTGTTTCCCTTTTAATGAGCGAGCAATTCTTGAGAGAAGTTTGCTGACGCTTTGCCCGCGTGATCTCTAGCATGCGTGATTCTCGTCTCTTTACATTTGATCTCCTACATTTTCACAACATTTTCAATAGTAGTGCTGACTGAAGCAAAGCCATTCTTGGCACACCCAGATCTAGATTATCGACTGACAAAGCCGATATTATTTCACAGGGACCAGAATCCAAATGGAAAGCCGCAATTATTCCGACACCAACGACAGTTCACTTCACCAATGTTCATTGGATGATGTTACGACCGAAGAGCGAGCATTCAAGATCTTGGGCTATTGTGTTATCATTTTCTTTTCTCTACTTGGTAATAGTTTAGTAGTGGTCGTAATCATGAGAGATCAAAGAATGAAGACGAACACAAACCGTTTTATCGTTAACATGTGCATATCTGATCTTTTTGCTACTATTAACGTCTTGCCGACACAAGTGATGTACATTTTAAGCAACGAATTATGGTTGATCCCTGGAGCCTTCGGGGAGTTCTTTTGCAAATTGGTTCCCTTCATTCAAGACGTTTCTTTTGCAGTCTCCATTTTTAGTATGACAGTTATTGCATTTGACCGATATCTAGCGATAGTCTATCCTTACAAGACCCATCTTATTACTACTAAGAGATGCTTAATCATAATCGCCATGATCTGGGCCGTGGCGGTGGGCATGCATTGCCATTACTTCATTACCGTGATTGTACTTACGAGTGAAAATGGTGATCAAATGTACTGCCGACAAGTGTGGTCTAGAGATACTGATAAACATATAAAAATCCAAAAGGTTGCCTTAAATACTGGTTTCTTCGTCCTTATTGCTATCCCCCTCATGTCTATTGCTTTCTTTTACACGCGTGTAGTCATGGAATTGTACTGCAGGAGCAACGCTCTTGAGCAAAGCAGGGWGCAACGTCGCGTGCGTAACAAGGAGAATCGAGAGGTGGCCGTCATGCTAATATCCGTTGTTGTGCTCTTCACTGTAAGCTGGGTCCCCTTGTACACTTTTTTCTTTCTGCAACTACACAAATGGAAGTTTGAAGCCAGCAATCCTTGCTATCTGAAGGATGTTAAGTTCATACTTTTAATGTTAAGTCACTCCAACGTTGCGCAGAATGCTTTCATTTACTTCAGCTTTAATAAACGATTCAAAAACGGATTAAGGAAGATCTTTGGAAGCAAATGCAATCTTGAAGCTGTCAATTGGCCAGAATATACAAATGGAACGTCTACAGCAGTGGCGAGAAAGATCAGAGTAAATAGCAAGGCTATCCCTGGGACAGATSAAGACGAAGAACGAGTTAAACTGACAACAAAATTGTAAAAACATAAATAATAAACTATTTTTTCTATAGCGCACTTATCCTATGCTCAAGGCATTATTAGTATTATCTTGACATTAATACCCCAGGCATGTTCACTCACTTTCCGTCATATATAATATAATATAATATATATAATATATATATAATATTAATATTAATATATAATTATTCTAATATATGCTTCATAGTCATTTTAGCCCGAGGCAGTATGACGCCTCAGACAACAAAAAAAAAAAAAAGAAAAAAAAGGAAAAACGTCATTAATGTTTCACTTTGTAAACACTTTTCCAGTAGAGTCTCTTTTTTATGTATATGGTTGTAGAGTATTAATTGCCTCAGCTGTGCTAGAAATGTCGTTAGATGATCTCGATGACTATCTGAAGGGTTTTAAGCTCATAGTTTTTATGTTAAGTCACTCCAACGTTGCGCAGAATGCTTTCATTTAGTAAACGATTCAAAAACGGATTAAAGAAGATCTTTGGAAGCAAATGCGATCTTGAAGCTGTCAATTGGCCGGAATATACAAATGGAACATCTACTTTGGGGAGAAAGATCAGAGTAAATAGCAAGGCTATCCCTGGGACAGATCAAGACGAAGAACGAGTTAAACTGACAACAAAATTGTAACAACTAGTATTGCATATCCATATATATATATAGATACATACCCGATCTCAAAAATTCTGACATTTATCGGATATATATGCTTATATATATGTCCCCATTTTTCTTTTGTCTTGCCCGGATTAGTATATTTGGTTGAGCGTTACACTACTTTCCAGTAGAGTCTCTTGCACTATCTTATGTATATGTTTGTAGAGTATTAATTGCCTCAGCTGTGCTAGAAATGTCGTTAGACGATCTCACTGACTAGTATAATGTACTGCAATAGTATGATGCATTATGACTGAACGGTTACCGACTCAAATGTCGCTTGCGGTAAATTGCTTCAGCTCTTCATGACTGCCACTGACTGCACCGGTCTTTCAATATTGATTTTCGCATGTTGATCTTAATGGTTTCTTTTTATCTTTCATATCTATTTTTCCTGCATGAATATCATTCATTTAGTGTAAAGCTGGACTGATGTATTTATTAAACTCAGCGCTGTTTTTTCGTATTGATATAGTAGTTCTGTCTTACGGTTAATAGAATTCCTTGGGGATTTTTTTTTCTTTTTTTTTTTTTTGCTTTCTTCTTTTCTATTCTGTTTGCCTCATATTCAGTTTCTAAAAAAAAATGTCAAGTTTGACAAAAAAATGGTGTTACTTTTTCCCCCAATTTTTTTCGATAACTGAGTCTTTTCTTGATCTTTTTTCTCTTCCTCTCTGTATTTGTAAATTTTCTATTTCCTTTTCTCTCTTTTACTCTCTTTCACTACGGTTTCCTTTTCCTTCGTCTGTTTTTTCTGTTTTTTCTTTTTCTTTTTTCTTTTTTCTTTTCCTTTTTTTT